AATGATATAATGTATAGGACATCTATTATAAGTCATACCCTTAGTCGACCATCTAAACCATAAAAAGTTCAAATTTAATTAGTTATACACACTAATTAATAAGGTGAAATAAACTAAGATTAAGTTAGTAACTTACTTTTGTGCATACGGGAAGGAAAAGCTGTTGTGGTTGACGGGCGCTATGGATGACAATCTAGACCAACCCCATGCTTGGAGCAAAACGGCGCATCCAGAAAAAGTATGTGTTTTTTTTGCGCACTTACACAAAGAGTTATACAAATAAGACAGACAAGCGGAACCCCAACTATACTATCTTGTTTTATGTAGGTCTCTCAATAATGGTAAATACATAATGTGCATAGAAGAACCAGTGCCTTCGTGGAAATAAAAATAAACCAATTAAAATCATAAGATAACACATGGTTTTTATTATTTTCATTTCTTCTGTAGAATCTTCATCTAATATAAAACCGGTGTACCGTGATTTTATACGTGAAATTAAGATACCTTGGCCTCTTGAGTTCTCATCTAGCAAGTTGGCACCTAAAAGTTCCTCACAAATTAATGATTCAAGGTTTGTTGGTCCATTGATCGCCTTACCATCAATATGCAAACCGAGTAACATGTACACATCCTCTAAGGTCACAGTACATTCACCGGTTGAAAAAAAAAGGTGTGTGTCTCTAGGCGCCATCTCTCTTGCAAAGCTAGTATAAACTTTGTATCAACAGAGTAAGACATGATTTTGCTTACATGTCAAAAACCGGCAAGCTCAATATATGGTTGAATTAATTTGTCAGGTGCAACGTATTCATGGGAACAAGGACGAAACTCAAAGACCTCCTACATAATTGTCAATTTAAAAAAAAAACTGAGACATTAAAAGTTAACAGAGACAATAAAAATTAACAAAGTCAATAAAAATTTACAAAGACAATAAAAATTAATAAAGACATTAAAAATTAACGCTTACATAATTCGCGATATTCACGACAGTGCCTCTATGCGTTTCACCCGTTGTCAACAAAGCCATATAACTGTTAAATGTGAATCAAATAACTAGTATACTGACACTCTAGACTTGATATTACCTCTCTGCAATAAGTATGAATCAGATGATGTATTTACCCATACCTCTAGCTTTCTTATATAGTGAATTAGGAGTCACATGTGAGAATAATGTGTTGTACCATGTCACCAGACCAATTGGCGACTGCATTCACCCATTACAAAGAATCGCCAATCCAATTGGAGACGCCTGGTAAACTGAAACATAGTTGTGCACGTAGTTAAGGCTGCTTCATGCATGCATAACATGCTGACACCCACATGGCGACACAGTGTCTAACAGACTGCACCTTGTCTCCAATTCATGTGGCGACTCCATTTAATGCGTTTGACCATGTCGTCAGTTCATGTGGAGAATCTAGTACGTGTCCCATGCATATTAATATGTTCCCATGCATGCAGACATAGATAGAAACCAAAATAAGCAAAATTAACAAGTTTCTAACAAGTGCTTTTAGTATGTCATATGCACCGAGATATATTGTTAACACCCACTACAACAGAAAGACATATGTCTCTGATGTATCTGGTTTTGGTTTTGAAAACACCGATATTGTCTGAATCACAATCAATAGAGACACAAGTTTCTTGCATTTCAAAGAAATATTGGAATTGAAATTAGGGCTTGGTCTTAGCACAAATAATATATCAAAACCCAGTTTTTTTTAAAAACCAACCACGTTAAATTTTATCCACTTAAAGTGTGAGATGACGAAGATGTTGAAAATATGTTCGTTAGTCACATACGTTTTGGTTTCAACTATATTGAGTTGTATACGTTCCTTCAACAAAATATTCCATCTCAACAGTCTCAAATCATCAATCAATAAACAAGTGTAGACTTAGATCAAACCGAATCAAAATATTAAGATGAAACTGAACCTGAGGTTAACGTCGTTGATGAAGAAGAAGGAAGCGAGGCACTGATTGATAAGCTGTTGAACAACAACATTGAGGATGGCGAACAAGTGCCAGTACCTCCAGGTCATGTATACTGCCCGTCTCAACATATGACGAACTTGGACTTCCAAGACGATCTCGAATTTGCATATATGTTTTACAACCCGTATATGCGGCCAGGGAATGAATTAAAAGAAGACAAGTTTCGTACCAAAGAAGATTGTGTACGAGCCATTAAAAAATATCACATGGATAACTCTGTTAATTTCAATGTACACCGAACAGATTCGAGAAGGTATGTCATTATTTCTCGTAATCCACTTTGCAAGTTTCAGCTTACTGCGTCTTACAGAAAGAGAAGCGACTCTTGGAAGATAGCTTCTATAAAGCCACCTCAGAGTTGCACTACCACAAATATTGTTCAAGATCACCGAAAGCTAAGTGCATAATTGATATGTCAAGACATTTTGCCAATTGCTAACAAGGATCCTTCAGTCAAGGTGAGTATAATAATCTCTCATATCATGACGGGGTATAATTATACTCCCTTGTACAAGAAGGTGTGGATTGCAAGGATAAATATTGTTGAATAAATATTTGGCAACTGAGAGGATTCGTACAAGGAATTACCGCGATTTTTGGTAGCGCTAAAGATATACACACTGGGAATTGTTGCAATCATGCAAACAATGCCGACATGTAGGCCAAATGGAACTATTGTTGATGGAAATGTCATCTTTCACTGTCCCTTTTGGTCGTTTCAACCATGCATGAGAGTTTTTGTATTCTGCAAACCTGTTATTCAAATTGATGGAACATGGCTCTACGGAGAATACAAGGGCACCTTGCTTATGGCTGTTGCACAAGACGACAACAATAATGTATTTCCCATAACCTTTGCTCTGGTTGAGGGTGAGACCGCTTCTGCTTGAAGTTTCTTCCTTAAGAATCTCAGAACACATGTCGCTCCACAAGACATGCATGCTGTTATAAATAGTGCTTACAATAACCATGATAACGGGTGGCATAATCCTCCTTCTAACCATGTATATTGCATTAGACATATTGCACAAAACTTCATGCGTGCAATCAAAGACAAGAACCTTCGCAAAAAAGTTATAAATGTCGGGTATGCTCTAACTCAACCAACATTTCAATAATACCTTAACGAAATTAGGATGTCAAATGCAAATGTAGGAAGCTGGTTGGATAACATTCCACTGGAAAAGTGGACAAGGGCTTTTGATGGTGGATGTCGTTGGGGCCACATGACGACAAACCTTGTGGAGTCCATGAGCGGGGTATTCAAAGCAATTAGAAATCTACCAATCACTGCTTTGGTGAGATCAACCTATTATAGGTTGACATCACTTTTCGCAACAAGAGGCGAAAGATGGAGTGCAGTGTTAACGTCGGGTCAAGTATTCGGTGAAAGCATAATGAAATTGATGAAAGAGGATACTGTCAGAGTCAGCACACATGCAATTACAGTCTTTAACCGTCATAAGCAAACATTCAGTGTACAAGAAACAATGGACCATAATGAGGGGAGTCCTAATTTATCCTATGTTGTCAGACTAAATAGATGTTGGTGTGACTGTGGCAAGTACCAGGCCTTCTGTGTACCTTGCTCACATGTCATTGCAGCATGCACACATGCTCGTTAGGATGCTTATGGCTATCTATCTGATGTTTACAAGGTGATTAATGTTATGAATGTCTATAACGAAGGCTTCGCAGTGCTACCAATGGAGGAATATTGACATCCATACCAAGGTGACATAGTTTGACACAACGATGAGATGCGAAGAAAGAAAAAGGGACGCCCAAACAGCAAGCGTATAAGAACCGAAATGGATACAACTGATAAAATGATAAGATTATGCAGTATATGTCGTTATCCCGGACACAACCGAAAAAATTGTCCCAATGTGGGAGGAACATTTGCATCATGATTTAGCTTATCGTTTCAGTTGTTGTAACCTAATATTTTGATATATTGATGAGTCTTTGTTACAACAATGTTAACAACAAACAACACAAACTGCAAACTAACAACACACGACACATAAAAAACTAATGAAAAAGAAACATAAAACATTCCTAACGGATTACAACAATCAAACTAATTTCATTTGGTCCAAACATGACTTCCTTCGCATCCTTGTCAGTCTTAACACGAAGCCATCCACGCAACCAATCAAGTCTCTTGATACTTCAAATTTTTTCCCCTTTCACCAATATCTCTTTTTAACCACCGAATCAACTCCCTCTTAAGTTGATTGAAACTTTGTATGTTCCAAAACAACATGTCAGTCTTAACACGAAGCCATCCACGCAGCCAATCAAGTCTCTTGATACTTCAAATTTTTTCCCCTTCACCAATATCTCTTTTTAACCACCGATTCAACTTCCTCTTAAGTTGATTGAAACTTTGTATGTTCCAAAACAACATGTCCATCAAAGACTTATCTCTCGAAAAGACGACTTTTCCCCATTGGCGACGATACATGTTATGAGTGGAACAAAGATATGAGATGAGTTGTGGAACTAAATGATTAGAACACCTCTATTTATAGAAAGAAATTTCAATTTCTAAGGAGTCTCTAGATGAATCGACGACTCCCTTATATGTATACAACCAAGTCGCCAATTGAATTAGAGAGTGCATGAGGTGTCTCCAATTCAATTGGCAACTCCCTTAAAACCATTATAAATGGTCGCCAATTGATATAACGTTCACATGTATTCAACAACCTTAACTAGAGTGTTTTGTGAATTTTTTTAAAAACTGAGATATTTTGCGATTTTATTTTTTTTAAATGGATTATTTGGGGAAAAAATTCTATAAGTAATCCCTTATGAGTAATATCTTATTTTAAAATTAATAATTTGATTTTTATTTTATAATACAAAAATCTCCATCCCCTTATGAACTAGGTTAAGCCGGAGAAAAAAAATCTCCATCCCCTTATCTGAACTAGGTTAAGCCGCAGAAAAAAAATCTCCATCCCCTTTCCAGCTGCAGAAAAATGGCGGCGATTCAAAACGAACCGGCGAAGCTAAGGTGGGGAGAATTGGAAGAAGATGACGGGGAGGATCTGGATTTTCTGTTACCTCCACGTCAGGTGATTGGTCCTGACGAAAACGGAATCAAGAGGGTTATTGAGTACCAGTTCGATGATGATGGTAATAAGGTGAAGATCACAACAACCACTCGCACACGCAAACTTGCGAACGCGCGTCTCAGCAAACGCGCCGTCGAACGCCGTTCGTGGCCTAAGTTTGGAGATGCTGTCCATGAAGATGTTGGTGCTCGCCTCACTATGGTTTCTACAGAAGAGATTGTCCTAGAACGCCCTAAACCTCTTGGTTCTTCTTTCTCTCACTTGTTTTTATTTTTATTTTTTATTACAGTTGAATCTGAGTTTTATTATTTATTTTATGATGATATCTTAAACCGTGATCCGTGATTGTTGTGTTTTAAACCCCATTTTTTGTAATTTCAATATCACTGTCTACTGTAACAAAATGAATACCCATGACAATAGGTTAAAGCACGAAAATTTTAGGGTTTTGAAAGGTGATTGTAAGATTCTAGATATATTGCCGATAATTTCAGGCCACAATTGTGGTTTTTAACATCAAAAACCCTAAACCCTGGTTTACCGTTCACTGCTGTTTACATTTTTCATGATTGTTCACCTTTATATGAAACTAAGATTTTTATTGTCACTATTCGGAATAAGAAATCTTGCCCAATTTTTATACACGGTAAATCAATTCAAATGCAATGAGTTTCATGTGAATTGTTATGTATCTGTTCATGATTAAACAATGTAGGAGTTAATTCTAACACAAGAATGATTGGATTGGACTTATCAATAAAAAGAATTATTCTATTGGCTTGCTTTACATTTAAATTTGCTTTTCTGATTCTATTATTTGCATGAAATTCCTTACTCTGACTATGTATTACTGAATTCAGTTTAACTGTCTTAATTAATTTCCCATTGGAGGACTTTTGTATCAATCTCATGATATATGTATTTATCACTCTGTATTTACAGGTTCCAGCAAGGAGGATGCAAAGGCTAGTGACCCATTGGCTCAGTTCAATAAAGGTGCTGTTCTTATGGTGTGTAGGACTTGTGGAAAGAAGGGTGACCATTGGACTTCAAGGTGTCCATATAAGGATCTTGCACCGCAGTCTGAGGGCTTTGTTGATAAACCTCCAACAGCAGATGGTTCTGCGACTGCTACAAGTGGTCCGGCTAAGGGTACATATGTACCTCCTAGCCTGAGAGCTGGTGCAGAGAGGACTACTGGGTCAGACATGAGGCGGAGGAACGATGAGAATTCTGTTCGGGTAACCAACCTCTCGGAGGACACAAGGGAGCCTGATTTGCTTGAGCTTTTCCGGCCTTTTGGTGCTGTGAGCAGGGTCTATGTTGCTATAGATCAGAAGACTGGCATGAGTAGAGGCTTTGGCTTTGTTAACTTTGTCAGCAGGGAAGATGCTCAGAGGGCTATTAACAAACTCAATGGATATGGCTACGACAATCTCATTCTGAGAGTTGAGTGGGCCACCCCTAGAACAACCTAAGTATTGGGTGCTTGTGAGTTTTTTGCCCCCTTTTCTTTCTGAAGATCTACCAGTTTTATAGTCTGAGTTTAGAACCATCTGATGTTTCCTTTCTGTTAATTTATTATTTGAAAGTAAATAAGATTTTTGGATGGTTAGGGATGATAATCAATATTATGAGGATTGTTTACATACTATCACTTGTTGGTTATCGATGACAACCCATATTATGAGTATTGTTTTACAGGCTGACATTCTTGCTCAAGATTTTTGATATTTGAGTGACATTATGTTTGAGACTAATCCATATTGTTATTAAAAAGAGTGAAAACTTGTCCATATCAGATCAAAGAATACTTTAACATAGTTTGTTGCTGTTCCAATATTTGTTTTACTAGGAATGCCTATTGTTACTAACAAAGAAAAAGTAACTCCAATGTTTTTGTCCTTAGATATCAAGAACACAACTGTTTCAATTTTTCTTCTGATTTGAAGTTTTGTGGATCTGTTTGTTGTGCTAGAGATTCAATTTTCATAACCAGGGTTTGAATCTGGCCTTTTGCATTATTATATCATTTTAAATGTTAACATTGTAAAATGGAAATTTACAGTGAGAATTCCCCTGGAGGCCATCCATTTCCCATTTAAAATGGAAATTTTGAGGTCAACATTGTAAATGTTCGACGAAAATGAAGCCTATGTATGAAATTAATATTTTTAGTATAATCAATATCTCTACCAAAACAAAATTGTATATAAAACTAACACAATGTTTGAGCTGAATGGTTGACTGCACCAGTTTTCATTCTTGTTCTTATGAAAATATTAAGACAGAAAAAGAGAAAGAAATGGGTTTGTAGATATTCATGGAAGGATGGTATTCCTTAAATTTGTTTAATCTGTATGGTTTATATAAAGTTCAATTAAGATATTCCAGATTCAAGCATATTGTATATTGAGAACATGAAACCAGATAATATTGAATTGTCTAATTATAATTTCAAAAGTTTCCAAATCTGTTTCTATACTCCAAACTAACCTGGAAGTATTATGTGGAAGTATTCACAATGCACGTGCACCTCAAAACTGCTAAAAGTTCACAATCAAAATATATGTAAACTAAGTATATCAGCATCATCTAATATTTTGCTATGACAAATAGAGATTATCATCTCAGTCAAATGCCAACAACTCACCCAGCTGTTCATCTGTCCATTGTGGAATTGAGTTTTTTGGATTCATGATCTCCTGTCTTTCCAAGTGATTTTCCATACCAGTTTTTTGACCAACAGATATATGTGCCAGGTTCGATGAAGAACTATTGGCTTGAGTAATCCATGATTGTTTCCTTTGCCTAATGTAGGATGGTTTTCTTGATCTTCCATCTCACTTTCAAGCTGCGCACCACAAGTTGCTTCAACAGGTCCAGTACCATCCTGTCTCAAAGATAAGTTTTCTCTATTCGAAACAGTTCTTTGGATTTCATCATCTTCATTATCAGATTGACAACTGCTTAAGACCAAAATTCCATCCCTCTGACTACCATTATTTGCTACTTGTTTAAACCTTGAACCTAATCTGATATTATTCAGGATTCCTTGAGTTCTTTCTCGTGACAGAGAGAGTGCACTGCTCAACGGCATCCACGATTTTTCACGTGTTTCTATTTGCAAATAAAACCAACTCATGAGCATATGAACTCAGTATAGTCAACCAAAGGTACAAAGTCCATTCCTCTGGCAAAGACAAGAAAATCTAACAAAAGGGACATGAGCCATATTGCAGCTATAATATAAGTACATTTTAAAAATCTACCTACAGTTCAAGTAGGTGCAGTTTGTTTCATATAGATGTGCTCTGATGGAGATCCACTGTCCTTAGGAAAGACCTGTATAACATAAAAAAAGCTATAAGTAGAGAAACAATACCTGCCAAAGGATCTCATTCATCAACAAGTTAGGGTGTGTTGGGAGGTAGACCTAAATTTAATATACATTTGATAAATTTAAAAAACTGAGAATACCCTGAAATATGATCATATCATATAATAATTTAGTTACACTACATTCATTTTAAAAAAATTTCATAGCTTGTATAATATAGAAAAGAAAAACAAGTGTTCCCCTTCCCTCCCAAACAGGCCCTTAATAAATTGTTTTTTATTTGATAAAAATGACATTGCAAATTCAATAATTCAACTAAAAATTTATAAGTCATCAATTAATAGCCACATATTAAAAAATAGGTATAATTAGTCTTTAGGTCCTTTAACTTTGAGCGAAGTTTCGCTTTAATCCCATAACTAAAAAATATTACACAATGATTCCTTAACTTCATTTTTGTTAAACCATTTTGTCTCTAATTTTAGTTTGTGTGAAAAAAACGTTAACTAATACTGAGTTGACATGCTAAGTAAGCAGCTTATGTGTTATAAACGCACTAGGGTTTGTGTTTTCATCAGTGTTCTTCAATATTTCCTCCATCTTTCAGATACAGTCTTCTTCAATATTTCCCCCATCTTCTTTCTTCCATCTCCCATCTTTCATTTTCTTCTCCAAATTAAGGTTCCATGTCAAAGGTTACAAGCAATACTTCTACGTCAAACAACCAAAGCCATGGTACATCTGGATCTGTGTTTCGTAGAAAGAAGAGAATGATGTGTTTTTGTCAAGATGAAATTGTTCTTCGAACTGTTCATGATGTGAACAGTGACAACTATGGAAGAAAATTATGGGGTTGTAGAAATTACAGTAATCACATGGATAAGGGTTGTAATTTCTTCAAGTGGTTAGGTGATGAGTTTGTTGATGAAAAAGATTTGAAGCTTGAAAGACAAAAGAAGAAATTAATAAATTGAAGAGTGAGGTTATGTACACTAAAGGATGGTGGAAAATGTTCATTCTTGTTGGGATGATGAGCTTAGGGTTGAACCTTGTTTTTGTAACAATATATTTCAATTAGGTTTAGAGTAGTTCAATGTATTCTGAAGTTGGTTTAATGTATTCTGAAGTTGGTTTAATGAATAATGTTAGTGTCCATTTCAATATATTCTGAATTTTGTTTAATGAATAATGTTAGTGTTTATTTTAACACATTACCAATGTTTCTTCATTATGCTATGTTTTATCTGTGATACATAACTGGTATTAATTTGTCTCAAAATTTGACATGTTAAAAATGCAGCAAAATAGTAAATAGACCATACAGTAAGATAATTTGGCATTTAAGTCATTCCAACTTTCATTACCATATCTGAAGTCTGATACATAACCAATAGTTCAAAAACAAAAGACCATTATAAAGGATTAATATAACGTAACTACTGGTTCAATAACAAAACAGATTGACCATTGTCAATAAGCCATTAAAAGACATTACAAAATGTGAACAGACATCATAAAAAACGTCAAGGTTGACTTGAAACAGGCTTGCCACCCTTATGAAGTTTTTTTTTGTTTTTTGTTTTTGGTGGTGGCTGACTTGAAACAATTAATGATGATTGCTGAGTTGTGGCTTCTTGAACCTGACTTGAAAGAGTTGGTGGCGGTGCTTCTCAAGTTGTTCCTTCTTGTACCTGACTTGGAGAAGGTCGTGGTTGTAGCAGTTTACAGGTGGCCTTGTTATGACCATCCTTATGGCAACGACTACACTTAATACCATGTTTTTCTTGTTTCATGTGTGTCTCATCCCTCACCATTTCTCTAGTTTCCCTATTTCTTTTTTTCTTTGGCCTTCCTGGCTGTCTCTTTATTAGCGGTGATTGAAGATCAACAACAATAGTTTTGATCCATAAGACTTCCCCATTAATTGGATAAACAACAGATGCATATCAAGTTGCATAGTGGTCCTTCTTGTAACAGTATGGTACAAAGTCATCAATCTCTAAATGTTGATCCTTCATGCAAAACATTGCATGACAACATAGTAGCCCAGTCAACAACCATATTCTACATGAGCATTCTTTCTTGTAAAGGTTGGCAGCATATTTTTCTCTATTGAGTGAAATATGCCTTACCTCATAGTCATATTATTGACATATTATTGACCAAAGTGGCACATCCTGCACTTGGCATGAACCTTGATTTACTCTAGAATCTTGGTGGAATTTTGATGAGATGTTTGAATGCCTCTTCATTAACTCCATTGATTTTAAAAATAATTTTCTCCCAAACATTTACATAACTTGCACATATAGCCCTCCACATTAATTCCTTCAGTTTTAGTCCACATAACTTCTTGAAGTTGCTATATAAATGCATGCATTACCAAGTTATCAATTTCATGTATACAGACCTAACACAAAATCTCTAGTCAACATTACCAAGTAATTCATCAATAGCTGACATCAAACCCTGCATTACCAAGTTATTCATCAAAAATAAGTAATCTTGATGGTGATATTTAAACAATTGGCTAACATGTAAAATTCAAGGTAAGAGTTAACCTTTTGTTGATCGCAAATGAAGGTATACGTTTTGCACAATCTGACTCCTCCTAAATCAGCTATCAATAATTCTAAAAACTAGCTCCATGAGTCTTAGTTTCACCCTCCACAACAACATACGCAATTGGTAGCATTTGGTCATTTGGGTGCCTCCCAATAGCAGCTAGTATTTATCCACCATAGTATCCCTTTAGAAAAGACCCATCTAATCCTATAATAGGTCTGCACTTAAAAAAAAAATCCTTGCAAGCTTTCAGACATACATACATCCTCTGGAAGTGAGGATTCATTTCACTGATCTCCCATTGACCAAACTTTTCTGTTATCCCCTTGAACTGCTTGACTTGTAATCTTAACAATTAAGCCTTAGTTTGCACTTAAGAGTTCATGGACATAATCATGGATTCTTCTATACTGCTCTTTAAATGAACCATATACAATATCAACTGCTAGTATCTTTGCTCTATATTCCAATGTCTTGTTAATCTCAACATTCCACTTTTCATGTGTCTTCTCCATAATATCAGTCAACTTCAAGGCTAGATTCTCTCTAACACTTGTTTGAATCTTTTTGCCC